GGGGCTAAAATAAAGATGACCCTCGGGCTTCGGAAACCCAAGGGAAAAACGGGTAGGTGAGGCAAATGGTAAAACCAAGGTTGGGCCTTGCTGGAGGAGTTTTATTCAAAGCAAACTATCAAGGGGGTCCCATAAATCACCCAACCGTGTAAGGAACGCAAAATCCGGGAACATAACACCGGTATGACGGAAACTAGGGCGGCAAGAGTGGAATAAAACACCAGGCATAAGGCTGAGTCTTCCACCCTTTACCAAGTATATAGATGCATTAATTAAATAAGAGATATTGTGATCTCCCAACCATAATCCTGTCCACCATGGAGCAGTCTTCAACTTCACCTGCAACTAGCAACGCTATAAGAGGGGCTGAGCAAAGCGGTAACATAGCCAAGCAACGATTTGCTAGGAAGGGTGAAAAGGTTAGAGGCTGACATGGCAAATTGGGGAGGCTTGAAGAACAAGTGATAGGTAGCGCAGCATAGCGATAGAACGTAGCAACTAGCATAGCAATGATAGTAGTGAGATCCAAGATAGCGGTCATCTTGCCTGAAATCCCGCTAGGAAGAAGAACGAGTCCATGAAGAAGACGAAGCCACACAAAGACGAACCAAGCATAGACGAACGAATCCTCACGATCGCAACAAAACGGGAACTATCGAGAAGAAGCACACAACATGGTAAACACACCACACATATACATGACATGATGCTCAACCAAGTATGATGCATGAAAAAAATAAATGAACCTACTCATGGCAAGAGATGATGCACACAAGAGCAACACATCAAAGCAAGTTTAAATGAGGCCGGAAACAACATATAACAATTCCGGTAAGTCCTCATATGCAAATTTCAAAATTGGTCCAGATCTGAATAAACCTTACGTTCAAGTTGTTAAACAGCAAGTTAAAATGCACCATGATGATCTACACGAAATTCTAGACAAGTTACATATAAAGTTCATTTAGTTCAGAGCTATGGCCTAGAAGATATGAGCAAAACAAGATAAACATGACATTGATGCAAAATGCATACAAACATCTAGCAAACACATTCAAAACAAGGATGCAACACGATAATATGAAACTACATGCAATTCTAAGCAAGTTTCATATAGAGCACACTCAAAACGGAGCAACGGTTCAACACACACACATGAAACAAGTTTAAAGGACAAGCTGTCCAAAACAGCAACTAGGCATCTGGCAAGCATCAAAACAATATGCTACAGCATCTCAACATGAAAATAAAAGACATGGGCATGATGTACAGGTAATTCATTATAAAACATGAACACTGAGTTATCTCCAGAAATCACTAGAACATGCTCAAAAAGACATGGCAAGATTGCAAATAATAACAGTTTCAGACTTTGCAGAAATAACATCACGTTGCAATGTTTAGAGCTATCAAACGACATGCTAAAGGAACCTATCATGGCAAACAAAGGAAAGTCATGAACCTACTAATTGCATAGAACTGACCATGAGCCAAAAAGGATCAGAAGATATGATGGCACCCATGTAAACATGGCAAAAGATATGACAGATTCAAACATGGCAGGAACAACGATAAGTAGGCATGTTGGTGAGCTTGTACCACTCACCACAGAGAATTACATGGCATAGCAAGGTAACCAACAGTAAGATGACATGTTTACGAAGCTAAGCATGGAAAGAACAAGTTCATAGGATGCACGGATCACTAGCAAAACACATGGCAAAACTGAACTTAATGTTAACAGGCTGACAGCAACATTATTTCGCAACTTGAGAGCAAGATTACAACAAGCTACAGCAGGCTATAAATGCAACCAGGGGCATGGATAAATAGAGCATGACATGTATGACAAAATATTCTTAGTGAACATCTCCATATTATGCATAGAATGACTTGTAGAAGCAGGTTTACATAGCATCATAATGTAACATATTCATCCTAGCAAAACAGTAACAGGAAGTACCCTACTTAACAAGCTCTATGCACTCAGTACAAAACTCACAAAAATACATGGATTGCACCTATATAAATATGGCATGATGTAGTTCAAAACACATGTAGACATCAAGCTCATAGGATGCACACATCAAATGCAACAAAAATAACAAATCATCAAGTTATAACAGTTTCAGCAGATTAACATCATATAGCACTCTTGCAACAAAGATTCAGGCATCAAGATAAACTCAAAAAAGCAGGGCACACTGGAACAAAATGTAGAGCATCTCATGACGAACATTTTGATATATAGCACGCATAAAACGGAGCAGTATGCATGGAGATATGGCATGTCAAACAGGGCAAGAAAATATCACAGATCTGAGGACTTAGCAGATTTTAGCAGAAAAAAACAGGTGGGCGTCCGGTAGCTATATCGCGCACGGGTGGGGAAAAGAGGGGTTTGCTCACCCTGGGCTCGGCCCGGTCGAAGAAGAGGCCCAAAGGGCGCGGGGAGCTGGGCCGTGGGGGGCGCTGGGGCCCACGAGGCGCACGGGAGGAGCAGCTCCTCTGCTCGCTCCTGAGCACGTTCATGGTGGCGGCGGCGGCCGGCTTGACGACGCCGGCGCTGGAGCGATGTGGGGATGGGAGGATGAAGGGGATCGGCGGATCCGGCCCCTGGCCACCGGATCTGGCCGGTTTCTGGCGCGGGGAAGCGCCCGGGGTCGCGGAGCTTGAGGCCGACAGCGACCTCAGCCATGGCGACGCTACAGCAGGGAGAGGGAGGTTAGGGGAGGAACGAGAGGAGAGGAAGGGAGAGCGGGGCGGGGCGGCGCTGGCATGGGCGGAGAGCTCGCCGGCGGCGGGGCTCCGGTCGCCGGATGGAACACGGCGGCGGCGAGGGAGATCGGGCCCTAACCGATCCAGGCAGGGGCTCGGGGCGAGCGGGAACCGGCGGCGAGCGACCGAGCCAGGCTCGGCCCACGGCGGGCTCGCGATGGGCCTGGCAGGCTGCGCGGCGGTGGGGAAGGGCGCTGGTGAGGTGGCGGGATGCGGTTGGCTGCGGCGGCGGAGGAGGTGACGTGTCAGCGCGTGATTCGCCGGGGTGAGGTGGAGGCTGGACGTGTCCGACCAGAGTTGGACGTGTCCAGCGGCACGAGGGGAGCGGGGCTAGGGTTTCATCTGCGTTTTGAACGGGGAGGGACACACATATATACAGGTAGAGGGAGCTAGGAGACTCCAAATGAGGAGCGGTTTTTGCCCACACGATCGTGATCGAACGACCGAGAGCATGAAGGGGGTTAGGATGGGTTATTGGGACACTTTGGAGGGGTGTTGGGCTGCACACAAAAGAGGCTTTTACGGTTACCTAGTTAATCGTTGGAGCATCAAACACCTCCAAATGGCACGAAACTTGACAGACGGTCTACTGGTGATTTACCAAGGCTACTTGGCAAACCTCGGTCCATTCCGAGAATGTTTAACACCCACTCACGAAAATAGACAAGAAGGGGACCCCGGGTGACATAGGAGTGCCGGATTGCAAAACGGACAACGGGGAAAATGCTCGGATGCATGAAACGAACACGTATGCAAAATGAAATGCACATAATGACATGACAAAGTGCAGCATGCAAGCAAATGACATGACAATGACGGCGAATAACTGAAGGACACCTGGCGCATCGAATCTGGGGCGTTACAAGTCTTCCCCTCATTGATCTCCTTGATGATTACACCATAGGTTCCGCAAAATCACTGCTCAATATCTTTCACCACCACTAAGCAATCAGAAGAAACCAGAATGCTTCTAAGGTTATGACTCAATAAACTGACGCATAGATAATAGGATTTGGAAGATGTTTTAAGAAAAAAAAAGGAAAAAAACACACCGTATGACCAAAATGCACATACAACATACAACGAAAATCCTTTCGCAAAAAAAAACATACAATGAAAATGCACATGCGACTAAGGGACCTCCTATTCCATGCAGTGCGTGATGCAAAGATGCGGAACATGCACCTCCTCCTCCCCCGCACACCCTTTTGGGCTGGCCCATGTTTGGGCGGAACTTTCGTTCTTTTTTGCTTTTTTTTCTTTCTAAATTTCTTTCTTCAAAATAACTCATGATTTCAACAATATCCAAATTTGAAAAAAATGTGAATTTAAAAAAAAAAGTAATCATAAAATGTTTGTTAATTAAAAAAATCATGATTTTCAAAAATATTCAGGAAATTATACTAGGTCCACGGATTCAAAAAATAATCGCATATTTGAAAAATATTCATGATTTTGAAAAAGATGTTTGTGATAAGAAAAAAAATCATGATTTTGAAAAAAATTGCATACTCAAAAATGTTTGTGAATTTGAAAAAATATTCATGAAATATTAAAAAAAAATCATAAAATTAAAAATTGTTCCAAAATTTCAAAAAAAAAGGTTCATTGCCTAAAAATGTTTGTTGATTCAAGAAAAGTTCCTAAATTCGAGAAATGCTCATGCATTTCCAAAAAGGCTCATGAATTTAGAAAATTGTTCCCAAAGTTTTGTAAAATGTTCACGAGTTTAAAAAAAGTTCAGAATGCTAAAAGATGTTTGCAAATTTGTAAAAATCATTTGAAAATTCAAAAAAAGTTCTTGAAATTGTGATTAAATGTTTGCAAATTGAGAAATGTTCATGATTTTGAAAAATATCCGCTAATTTAAATTTGTCATGGTTTCAAAAATATTCTTGATTTCGAAATAGTTCATGATTTTGCAATATGTTTTAAAAATAAAAATATAATTTTAGAAAAAATAGAAAGCATAAAAGAGAAATACAAAAAATAAGATAGGAAAAACATAGAATAAGGAAAGGAAAACAAAAGGCCAATTCATGGAAGGTCCTAGAACCTTCCAAAACTGATGGAGAAGAAACCAAGAATGAACCAGTCGCAGGCTACAGGTGGGAGTGGGACTAAGTGATTAGCCATCCCATCCCACTTAAACTATTCTAATGCAATCCCACTGGACAAGAAGAAAATTAGGTGAGCTAGCCTTATTAACGCATTGGAATCCCATTTAATCCGGTTGCCAATGGCAGTGATCAGCAACAGCTTCTCAGCGCCAATGGCAGCCTCGATGTCACCCGCTGCAGTGTTGGCGATGATAGTGTAGGCCTGCCCGGTCTCATCGGCGGCCACGGTGGCGATGACCAGGATGTGGTCGGACGTGGTGATCGGGTGGAGCACGGAGGGTTGCGACGTCGGGGGAGGGGCGCGCGGTGAGGAGGCCTGTGTCCTTGCCGCAGAGGTCGACGACGGTGGCGCCGGCAAAGCGGATGAGGGAGACGAGCTGCTTGTCGATGTTGACCTTGCCGACCAGCACCATCTCGACGACCTCCATGGTGAGATCATTGGTGACGCGAAAGCCGTTGCGGAACTGCGGCTCGACGCCGACGCACTGCAGCCAGGAGTTGATCTCCGGATCGGACTGTCGTTGTGCACGAGCACGGGGCGCAGGCTGACGGAGGACGGGATGACCAGGTCACGGATCACCGACGCCTGCAGCTCTGGTGACTTCATGGCCGCGCCACTGTACTTCATCGCCACTGTCTTGCCATTGAACCGCTGGATGAAGGGGAGCGCCTCCTACAGGTCGTCCACGCGTGCCATGGAGGAGGTCAGGACGCCTTGTATCCGTTGTTCTGAATACAATGTCTTGCGTTTGCATTTTTTTCAGTGGGATCCCACTTTCAGCCGCTTAATCCATGTGGGCTACCCAATATTTTCCATCAATTTGTAATGGGATCAGGTGGATCGAGGTGGGATGCCCACGGGCAGCCTCACCTACAACCTGAGACCAGGTCAGAGCGTGTTTGGTATCCTCGGTTGCACCTGGCTCGCACCCGAGATGCAAAAACTAGCCTGTTTGTTTCCCACGCATATTAGAAGGCAGCAGGTCACAAGCGCACGTAACATGTGTGGATTTGAGCAATTGCCGAGCTTAGTAAAGATTGATTCTATCTGCAACTCAAGATGGGAACGGGCCGACCTGGACCTGGCCTTGGACCCGGCCCGGTGGCCCCAGGGTCAATATGTCAGGCCATCGGCTGGCCCATTTTATCAAAATTTTGTGGCCTCGCTGACCCATTGGGTACACAAGTTTGGTATCCTTGTGTACTACTCATCTCATCCCCACAGGAAATAGATGTGCTGATGTACACGTCATTAGCTGCCTTATTACGGGAAATAATTAGGCACAACGCACTCGCCCAGGCAGCCAGGCTATGTGCCTATACGTATGCATGTACGCAGCACGCTGTTCGTGCTTCACTGGTTTAGATGATGTAGCACGAGGACACGAAATGGCCTCACTGACCCATTCACGCTATATGTATGTATATGCATGTGCGCTGTTCATGAGTCATTGGTTCAGATGGGTCGACCCGTCTGACCCATCGGGTCGCACGATGCCGGCTCCACTGACCCATATATGATTCAAGGCCAACCCATCTGACCAATTGGCCTCGATTTTTTGGGCCGGGTCAGTGACCCGGCGGGCCGACCCGGCCCATTCCCATCTTGATCTGCAACTACGTACGCTTAACAAGAGGTGATCAAATCCAGCTCAAATACAACCTACCAAACAACATCTCTTATAGGACCGATGTCTTCTCCCTAAACTCTGCGTCTTCCGTCGGCGACGAACCCTAGCTAGCTACTAAAAAAAGGATCTATTACATACAAAAGGCATCCCCCGTACACTCTGAGATGCATTATGCCAAACAATATCTCTGCTTAGCCTGTCCAAAAACACACAGGTAACCAAACACACATTTTAGCGCATCTTTGCATCTGCTCAGTCAGGCCACACTCATCCAGTATCCCGCATCCGATGCAGGCTAGAGCCACCCAAGCAACCAAACACGCCCACAGAGGACCGGGCACGTGACGGGGTACGCGCTAGGTCGCGCGACCTACGCGCCAAACAGGACCGGGCGTACGACTGATGAGAAGACCTGGGCTGAATGTTAAAAAACAAAAACGTGTGGTTAAGTGGCGCAGGCCCACACCTGAGGAAGTAGGCCCAGTCCACCCTGGATTCCGTCCGCGGGGCGGCCCACGTGCGTATGACTTCCGTACCCAACTGCTCCGCCTGCCAGCCCGATCGCTCTCACACTAGTCTATACACAGGTCCAACTCACTGAGTCGCCGCTCCGACCAGAGCCCAGCCGCCGGCCACCGCCTCCTCCTCCCCCCAACAGAATGGCGGCCCCGAGCCTCCACCTCCTCCTCCCGCGCCACCCGCAGGCCCTGCCGCCGCCGCCGCCGCGGGCCTCGCCGTCCATGCTAGCCCTACCCCGCTTCCCCCTCCCCGCGCGGCGCCGGGGCCGGGCCGTCGCGGCGCTCGGGTGGGGAGGGGGCGGAGGGATCGAGGACGTCGGCCAGCTATTCAGCCGCGTCGAGGCGTTCCTCTACACCGTCGCCGACGCCGCGGTGGCGGCCGCCCCGGCGGCCGAGGGCGGGGCCAAGGAGGCCGCGGCCGCCGGGGACTGGTTCGCCGGGATCACCGGCTCCATGGAGACCGTGCTCAAGGTGCGCCCCGCCCCCTCCCCTCCCCCGCTCGCCGTTGCGTGCCGTGTGAGTGTGTGACGCCCATTCCTTCCGCTCCGAGGACACTGCCATTTCCGCGCCCGTGGCGTGTCATGCCCTGCTTGCTGTACTTCCTTTCCGCGCTGGAAATTCCGCGCCCCTGTTTTTCGGGAAACAGTGGAATCTAGTCGCCTAGCTAGATTCCTGAGCTGGACAATTTCAGCCAGTCCAGGGGCCGTAGGGTTGGTGTTGGTACAGGGAGCGCTGAAATTTCTCAGCATGCTCAAATGTAGCGTGCGATACTGTGGTGTGGTGTACAAGTACAGCCCTTCTGCGCTGAAAAATCCGCGCCACTGTTTTTCGGGAAACAGGGTAATCTAATTGCCTAGATTGTTGAGTCCCCCGAAAGCGATTCGCCGAACAATTCCGATTCAGGGGCCGTTGGGTTGCTGTTACAAGGGAGCGCTGAAATTTCTCAGCATGCTCAATTGTAGCTGATTAACTAGCGCGAAGTATAGACGGGGGGATAAGATTCAGCATGCCCAGCCGGTATATGCTTTATTAGTACACCATACTGCTGAAAGGAAATTGTTGAAATATGCTTAAAGCCTGGTAGGATCTTGCAAGGGCTGGTTTCCATTTTCTGGTAACTGCTGCAACAGCCTCATTGACTTTTCAGAAGAAGAAATGGCTATCCTGGCATCTGTGCCCAAAGTACGTTTGTTGAGACGGAATTATCATGGGCACTGCTGCTTAGGAAGACAACGGCGATGAATGGTGTTCATTTAAAGAGCGATGCTGTTCGTTAAATACTTAATACTAGTATAGTTTCTGCAGCTTGGCCTATGTTTTGTTCTTTGGGGAAATGGACTACTTGCTGTCAAGAATAATGTGTAATTTTGCATGTTTCCGATTTTGGGTACACGAACATGCCCTGATTTCTTCTATTGTAATTTCCAATGCACACAGATGATGGTAGGTTTAGAAACGAATGAGGCCTAGCTTTTCACTAGGCTCGGAGAGGGGATGAAGAGAGAATCACTGTTTATCTGTTTATCTCTGCTTTCCTCTATTTTTGAGTATGTGATCATACGAATGAACATTACTGTTAAAAACCTCTTGGTATAAGTGTATGCATTCACATTTGTGTAC